ACAGAGACCACATGGCTCATAATCCTAAAACATTTACAGTTTATGGAAAAAAGTTGCCAACCTCTGTAAGAGAATATAAAGGCTGATAATTATAATGTGATAAAAAAAAGATAATAGCTAATAGTTACTAAGGCTTACTATACATTATGTAATATCCTAAATTTTACATACGTAAAATTTATATATAAATAAAAAATATTAAAAAAATACACACACACACTCACACACATACACACACATATATATTTCATCCTCATAGCAGCTTGATGATTTAAGTGCTAATATTCAGGGCTGCCGTATATGGTAATAAGGGTTTTACACACAAGCATATGGCTTGGGATTAAGTGGGAGTTGAAATTTAGTGTATGTTTATACTTATTAAACTGCATGCCATGCTGCAGAGTTGTGTCTAATAGGAGGGAAGAATATTCCCACTGCCTCACTAACCACTTATAACCTCACAAGAATGCATAATATCCAGAGGAAGCCACTAAAATTGTCCATCTTTTCTGTAAAACTACTGTAGTTTTTTCAGTGGAAGGTACAATTTTAATAATCTGCACAAAGGAACTATAAAAGCAAACTAGGTGTGATCTTGCTGGTATGTTTCTCACTTATGGCTGAGGAAACTGAGGCATAGATTAAATTATTTGCCTAAAATAACACAGTAAATGGCACAGCTAGATTTGAATCTAGGCAGACTGGTTCTTTCGTGCATACTGAATGTCACAGTCTTTTAGCCAAGTCTTATGGGATTGCTGTCAGTGATGGTAAAAATGTCAATTTCTAGGTAAGAACTGCAGTTCCTAGTATTAATAGCATTCTAAGTATATACACTGTGAATAGTATAATCATATCATGGGACTAGCTAGTGTCTTGAACTCTTTCCTCATCAAAAATGTTTGCATAGCATTTGAAAAAATTTTATGTCTGGAATAAATTTTGGATGTAGTAATGGAGCCAGTGGAAAAGTATAAATATGGGTTTCTGGAATTGAATAGAAAAACTCTTGAAGATATGTCTCTACTATTTTTTACACAGTCTATCATTATCCTCTTTTTAATTGATATGGTAGAAAATTATTTGTTTTTGTAGTAAATATTTTAGAGCATAAAACAAGTGATATTAAAAATTTGCAATAAATGAAGTAAGTGTACATGTTTGGATGTGTGCAATTTGCAATTAAAAAAATATATCTGCTTGACTTTTTAACTCTTCTAATAAGGACATGGTGGAAATGGTTTTTTGAAATTTCAAGATTCTGAAGAAATTACCAACATAGAACTTGCAGATGCTTTTGAACAAATGTGGCAGAAAAGACGGTAATTAGAAAATGACTTCTTTTCATAAAATAAATTGATAACCTAAATTTTTTATGATAGATTCCTAGTTCTTATTTTATAAATTTTACCTTACTTTGATAATTTCTTCCACATTTAAAATTTGTTTGTTATACATTAAACTGTGTTTTTTAAAGGAAAAACTTAAGGGTTATTACTTAACATGAAAAAAATCAATCTTTTAAGATCAACTCTCTTGTAATTTAGCATCATTTTTTGGGGAGAGTCCTTTGTAAGCATTCTTTTATTTGAGAGTTGTTGTATATATGAGCTTACATGAACTCCAAGTAAACAATAGAATTGCTTTTAGCTTGATTGTACTTGTAGGTTACCTTCTGTACACATGGCACAAAGGGAAATATGATGCTTATTCTGCCTTCAAAGTATTTAAAATCTAACATAAGAGAGAAATGTATACACAAGCATACTACAAAAATTATCACTTTTGAAATATAAACAGAATGTATGGAAGTATTGAAGAGGAAATTTTATTTGGTACTGGTTGTTTTATATAGTGCTTAAATTTATTGCATGTTAGGTACTGGACACTGTGTTTTTCATGAATTATCTTAATTTCAGTAGCAACTCTGTGAGATAAGTACTATTATTTTCCCGTTTTTAACAAATGGATAAGCTGAGGCACAGATAGGTTAAGTAACTCACTAAACTTTATGCAGCTGATAGTGCCAGAGCTAGGATTTATGCCCAAGTGGTCTGATCATAGAGCTTGCTTTTAGTTATTTTACTATACTGCCTTTAGTAATTTCAGAGGTTTCTGATCCTGGACAAATGTTGTCTCAGAACAAATATGTCATATTAATTGTACCTTCTGTCATTCTCTTGTACTTTGTGGTTCAAGATTCTATAGATCTTTTTCTAGGAGCATTATTAGCTGTTTACTCAGACCAAATGTGTGAAGAAAACTTCCACTAAAACCTATCTACCTCTTACTTTCACCTTCACCAGTTATCTACATTTTTGTAAAAAAGAGATTTAATTGTGTTATTCTTTCACTTAACAACAAAAGAGAATAAAATACCACTTTGGTGGATTCCTCAAATGTACAGAATAAGAAAGAGACTTCATATGGTATCTTTACAAATTGACCCTATCCCAACTTTTTAAAAACCAGCTTCTCCGCCATACCTCAAATTTACTCTTTCTAAACTTTTTACATTGTATTTGTTCACATTAGGTGCTTTTTCTTCTGTTGGAATCTGTCCTTTCCCTAAGAGATAAAATAATGCTCACCCTTCATTGCCCATGTCAGGTATCACCTTTCTGTGAACCTTTTCAGTTCCCTCTATTCCTTTCACAGTGCTCATAGAGTACTTTGCTTTGTTAGACTGTAAACTCTTTGAGGTCAGGAATTTTTGTATCCCCAGTGTAGTGTCAGGGATATTGTAGATGCAATATATGTTTGTAATACTTACCTCATTTCAATTTAGTTTTATTTTAAGCTCTTTGAGTATGGTGACTAAGTCATCTCCCTCTTTCCCACACATTTTTTTTTTTTCTGAACCTCGTTCAGTTTCTAGGATAGTGCCAAATTAGTGGTTGTTGAGTTTAATATTCACTTGGTTCTGAATAATGTGACATGGACAAGGGAGAAGAACTTAAGTTGAGGCACAACTACTAGGCCCTGTTCAGGTGCTTTCCCTGCATAGGATTATACCTTTAACTTTTCAAGTGCTAAATTTCTATTGAAGACTCCACTTTTTTTGTTAATGAAATAGCTAAGACAACACAAACATCTTATGTAATAGAATATGTAAAAATATTATTGTATGATTAATACAGCATGATCTGTGACAAAATATATTATCACTTTTCTTTCAGGTACAATGAGCTACTATTCATTATTGATACTTGTCAAGGAGCATCCATGTATGAGCGATTTTATTCTCCTAACATAATGGCTCTAGCTAGTAGCCAAGTCGGAGAAGATTCACTCTCAGTATGTACATTTTCCCAATTTGTAAATGATACTGTTTTTGGAATCACTTGAATAGTTTTAGAATATACCTATTATTTTTCATTCTTAGACTTTTTAACACAGAGGAAATTTTAATTATATTTTAAGCATTTTGTTACAATGATGCTGTTGGACAATATACTTTTTTTTTTCCTCTTTTCATAGCATCAACCTGATCCTGCAATTGGAGTCCATCTTATGGATAGGTATACATTTTATGTTTTGGAATTTTTGGAAGAAATTAATCCAGCTAGTGAAACTAGTATGTATGACCTTGTAAGTATTCCTTTGATTTGATTATAACACATAGGTATATTAATGTGATAAATGAAGTTGATTATTCTTTGGAACCCTCTGTATTAGTGTTTCTAATGTTGAATTATGGCCTGTTAAATTGTTTTGAATCTTCCTTCCTATTAGTATCTTTCTCTTTACCACAAAAGATCCAAAGCTTCAGCCTAGTTAACTTGCTATTCCTGAGGTATTTCCCCATTTTCATTGGTTTACTCATTCTCTTTTCCCTATCAGAAATGTAATTTTTTAAAGATTAATCTTTTGAAATTCTACCTATTCTTCTGGGGTCAAATCAGATGTATCTCCTCTAAGATGTCTATTCAAATGCTTCCTTTTGGAATTTTTTTTACCTTTTCAGAATTTCCATAGAATCTTATTTATTTTGTGACAATTATTATGGTTTTTCTTTTTAAATTTTTTTATTTTATTATTTTTTAATTTAATTTAATTTTGTTTGTTTTTTTTAATGTGGTGCTGAGGATCGAACCCAATGCCTCACACATGCTAGGCTAGTATTCTACCACTGAGCCCCAGCCCCAGCCCCAGCCCTACAGTTTATCTTTTTTTTAATGTAAATTTTTAAAATTTATATATGAGAGCAGAATGTTTTACAATTCTTATTACATATATAGAGCACATTTTTTCATATCTCTGGTTGTATACATAGCATATTCACACCAATTTGTGTCTTCATACATGTACTTTGGATAATAATGATCATCACATTCCACCATCATTAATTATCCCATGCCCCCTCCCTTCCCCTCCAACCCCTCTACAGTTTATCTTTTATTGACCAGTGTGAAAGCCTTTCTATTTAATGGGAAACTCCTAAATGAAAAGAACCTTTGTTATCTATTTTTATGTGCCCTACAACTTCTGCTATAATCTTTTGACATCATTTGTTGAATTTCACTCAAAAAAATCTTTCTGACCTTTCTGTACTGATTATGTATTTTTAATTAAATGAACTTTAAGTTGCTTTTGAAAAGCAGGAATAATAAAAGCTTGAAACAACAATTCTAGGCTGAATAAATTACTGTGTGTAAATGACTTTCTCTTCTTATTTCTTTTAACTTATACCTTCCTCATTTATTCACAAACATTTGAGTGCTTACTAAGTGCCAGTTACTGGCTATTCCCCAATGAATAAGCATACACTGCTTTTGTGGAGTTTAGGAACTGAGACTGAGTACACAGGCTCCCTCTTACCCACATCAGCCTAAGTACCTTTGCATTGATCTTTTTAATTATATAGAAACACCTTCTTTGGTAAATTTTCTTTTACAAAGGGGGTTCTGCTCTAAAATTCTGAAAACGACTGCTATAGCCTGTCAAATTTGATAGAAGTACTTACTTCAGTTTCAAGATTATATATTTTGATGCCTGTTAAGTCTTGATTTGAATTTTAAAACTAAACTTATGACAGTGATGCTTTAATTTCAAGAAATAATAATCACCTAAATCCCAGTTACTTTAAAAGTTTAGTCTTGCTTTTGGATTCAACATTGTATACTTTATATAATTCTTGACGTATTCTCAAAAGTGTAAAATATACGTACTTTATATTTTAAAAGTCTAGTGCATTTAAAAAGTACTTCTTTCATTGAAATTATGTGGGAAAGAGTGAGGAAACTATTTTTTTAATTGTTCACAATTGTGATTTATTTTTAAATAAACATTCCTTGCTAATATCTGATCTTTCCCTTTCACCTCTGTTAAAAAAAAAATCTATATTTTGGTACTGGGGATTGAACCTAGGACCTAAGCACTCCATTACTGAGGTTCAACCTCTACTCCCTCCTTTTTTTTTTGTTTTGTTTTGTTTTAAGATGGTCTTGCTGTGTTTCCCAGGCTGGCTTGAAACTCTTCATCCTCCTGCATTAGCCTCCTGACTAATGTAGGTGTGCACAAATATGCCCAGTTCCATTTTAAAATTTAAGGATAACTGTTTTAATCTTAATTCAATCAGAATGGCCCATATTGTTGCAGTATACTAGTACAGTGATTTGACATATCTCTATATCATTTTTGTAATAATAGTTATTTTTTATTGGATTATGTGTATGCAGTAAAATTCACTGAGAATCAGCTGTATTCTGAGTATCATATATATTGGGTGTTTCAGTAACCACAAAATTAGAGGGCTTGGTGTGTAGCCCCTAAATTCATAGAAAACAGTTAGCATATTTATAAATTGTTACCTGTTATATGAAGTCTCTGAACCCTGTAGGTAATATTCCTTTGTGAATATATAACTCTTGCATATGCTTTTATTATACTTTTATTGTTGCACTATCATTGTTTAGATTTGTGATGTACCCTTCTGCACAAGAAAGTGTTTTCTTTTTTGTTAATTTTTCAACTTTTTAAGTTATAATTATTTTTTTGGTACCAGGGATTGAACTCAGGGACACTAGATCACTGAGCCACATCCCCAGCCCTATTTTTTGTATTTTATTAGAGACAGAGTCTCAGTGAGTTGCTTATCACTTCGCTGAATTGCTGAGGCTGGCTTTGAACTCGTGATCCTCCTGCTTCCGCCTCCCTAGGTGTGGGATCACAGGCGTGCGCCACCATGACCAGCTTTAAGTTAATTTTCAATTGGCACAATATATGCAATAGTGGGATACTTTATGATATAATTATACATGCACATAACATAATTTGGTCAGTTTCATTTCCCAGTACCTTCACTTTGGGTCTAACCTTCTTAAATAAAAGATGTAAGGACTATGCTTTATGCATCTTAATAACCGCTGAACTTGATTATAGTACCTGGTCTATTTGTAGATGCTCATTGAATATTTATTGAATGAATGAATAAACATGACAGCAATGCATATATATATATATATATATATATATATATAGTTCTTTTAAATACATTTTTCATAGAGGAGGTAAATTTTTAAGTTTGAAGGGAAAGAAATATAGCACACTTTAGGGAAATGGAATACTTGCAGATGGACGAAAGTTGCAAAAACAGGTGATTCTTCAGTAGTAAACATATAGCCTGTCTGGAGTATGGAGATTCTGTTAGTAAGAGGGATTCTTGAAAATTAAACTTAGTAATGTAGGATTTATGGTCTCTATTGTAGAGGTTAGGAAATCAGATTGATATAATAAACATTCTTGAAGGGAAGAATGACTTCATAATAAGTGGAAGTATATTTATTTTAGTAACAAAGAATAAGGTAATACTACTCAGTGTTTCTCAAGCTCATTTGACTATTTTTTCTGTTTTCTTCTGCTGGGGTACCTAATAAAGGCTATCAAATTGCTTTCACAGGAATGCTCTCAAAGGCATTCAGTATACCTGGGGCTTCAGTCTTATCTCTGTTTATCTTATCTTTTAATTTGTTTATTCAACCTTTCATGTGTCCTTCCTTTTGGACATTTTACCTTTTTGAGCTTCTTTCTTTTCCCCTTCCTTTGCTTTTAATTTATGTCTTATTTCCTTCTTTGTATTTATTTTGTATTTTCCTTTTCTGAACAGGGAAGGCAAAGATTACTGATAATGTGATGTTAGTTAAATTGCTTAATCTCATTGAGCCTTAGTTTAAAGTGGAGATGTATACTCAGAGCTATTAGTAGGCTTAAATGAGAGTCTTTTCAAATTGCTTATCACGTTTCTTGGAACACCTTGTGTTTCATAAACTTGATACTCAGTTCTTCCCCACCTCTTTCCCTTCCTATTGGTAATAACCTATGAAGCTGGTCTTGTCTTCACAGGTGGGAGGTGCTGTGGGCCTGAGTACTTATTGGTAGGCTTGTGATTGTTTCTTTCCTATACCCTGTGTTTCAGCCAAACTAGATTATTTTATGTATCTCTGCACTGATCCTCTATTTTCCTTTCTATAAAGACTACTTTATCAAACATAGCTTAATTCTCACAATATCTTTTTTTCTCTTCTTCAAACTATAAGAAATTCATCTTTTTCTGAAGTAAAACTTGTCATTTTCCCTACCCTGATATGTTTTATTTATCTCTAACCTAAGATGTAAAGCCTTTACAGGAAATTTTATCATTCTTTGAATTCTCTATGGAAGGTAACAGTGGGAACTATATGAAACAGATACTTTTTATGCTTTGCAGAATGGAATAATTTATGTTTGTTCTTGATAATTCACTGATGTTGAATATCAGATATAAGATTAACACAGAAATTTTTGTGGCATCTGTATAAGTGGTGAACCATTTATAATGGTTTTCACATTGTATTCTTTGGAATAATAGAGTGTCTGTAGAGGTGTTTTGGGTTTATTTTCATCATTGATAAACAAAATAAATTGATTTATAAAATGGTACAAAATTGCACAGCAAGAGCAAGGGGTTAGGTATTGGGGACATTACATGTCACTTACTTGAAACCCAGACTTTCTCCACCTAAATTTTTTTTTTTTAATGTACTTGGCTCTCATGTTACATTTTATTTGAACTTTGAGCCTAGAGTCATGATTTCAAAATGTCTGAAAACCATTCAGGTAGAGAGAGTACCCTTCTGAAGTGGACTTAGATATACACAAACAAAAAATTTCTGTTTTCATAATGCTGATTGTGAAATCTCGATGGATTTAGGAGTTCAAAATATATTTTGTAGCATATGATTCAAGAAAATGAATTTTTTTTCTCTCCAAGGACAGCTTCTCTTTTTTCATTGTTCTGATGTCTATATATCTGTATAGTTGTTATTTTAGAGTATCAAATATTATAATAGGAATGAGACATATATTTTTCCCCCTGAAACTGGAGATTGTACTATGGGTACACTGAGCTACATTCCCATCCCTTTTTATTTTAAGACAAGGTCTTGAATTTGAACTGGCCTTAAACTTGCCATTTTCCAACCTCACCCTCTTAAATTGATGGGATTATAGATAGGAGGTGCCCAATGAGACTTTAATCTTTAGAACCAGTAGCCTCTTTATATTTGGGGATCTTTTTTTTGTACCAGGGATTGAACCCAGGGGCCTTAACCACTGAATCACCTCCTCAGTCCTTTTTATTTTATATTTTGAGATGGGGTCTCACTAAGTTGCTTAGGGTCTTGGTAAGTTGTTGAGGCTGGCTTTGAACTTGTGATCCTCCTGCCTCAGCCTCCTGAGCCAATAGGATTATAGGCATATGCCACCATGCCTGGCTTGGAGAGTTTTAAAGATACATTACAGTTTTCTATATTGTGTCACTGGATTTAATAAAAGTTGTATGTATATGTGTGCATGCGTGTATTTATTAGTATTTTATTTTTCCAGTTTCAGGTATGTCCCAAAAGTCTCTGTGTTTCTACTCCTGGACATCGTACTGATCTTTTTCAGAGGGATCCTAAAAATGTCCTGATAACTGATTTTTTTGGGAGTGTACGAAAAGTGGAAATTACAACAGAAACTATTAGTTTGCAACACGATTCAGAAATCATGGAAAGCAGGTATTCATCTTAAATTGTTATTTGAATAGTCTAGTCTCATAATTTGTAAATTTTTATGAAACACATCAAGAGATGAAAGTTAGTGTTTGTCTGTAGTTTCACATTTCTACCCAATATTCATTTTATATAGGCCACATGCTTTACAGATTTATGGAGAAAAACTTAATAATAAATATTAGTGGAAAGTTAAGATTATGATTAAGATTATATTGGCATTTTAAAATGCAGTGTTGGTAGTAGTGCAGTGTGAGACTTGCTAAGACCTAAAACTTTGCCCCTAACTGGCCATTATAGAGCTATACTTTTCACTTTATTGGAACTCTTGGTAATTCATTAGGGAGAGGCATAAGAGAGATATAAGCCAGGTACTTCCTTTTTGAGGAGTGGATTGTTGTGCATGTATATTTGTGTGAGACAGGTTGAAAGAAATTGGTTAACTTTGGGTAAATTAATTTTAGAAATATTTATAATGTTCTTTTTTTCCTGAAAGGCAAAAATATCTCATTAAAATTAAATAATGGCTTGATTAATAGCCACTTTCTTGAAATATGTAACAATATATTTTGTTAGCTGTATAACTTAATTTGTTATTGTCTAATGCTATTGTCTCATGATATCATACTCTAGGGAACTTCCCTGGCTTGTTAAATGGCAACATATAAAATTCTCACCGTTTTGAACATTTCAGAGATTTCTTGTTGAACTTAGAATGTGGTAGGAATAAATCCAGAAACTAGCACAAAATACTTATTTATTTATGAATATTTAGAATTGATATTGCTACCTGTTCTGGGTATTCAAAGTCTTATATTTTTTCTTTTCCAATTTCCTATTGCTATTGGCTTAAAAAAGGTGTTAAGGCAATAGATTAAAATCCTACAGCAATATTTATTACCTTTATTTTTTGTTTAAATAACAGCTTTCAAATTGCCTCTGTAAAAATGGCTAAACGGTACTTTAACAAATGAGTAGTATGTCTTTTACTAAATTCATTCTATAATTCTCCTCAAACTTGATTCTATAAATATAATATTTGTCCTTGCCCTTCTCTGAACCATCCGAACATTAAATTAATCTCCTTTATAGGCAAGGACCATCTTTTTACTGCTTTACTTATTTTCTGTTCTCTCAACATACAATATTAAATATATAGTGATTGGACAATAAAAAATTGTTTCACTGGAATTCTGTTATATGTTCTGGAAGAATGGAAATTTGCCTCTTCAGTTTTCTCTGTGTATTCATTTGAAAACAAAAATTGTTAGTGCTGAAGAGATCTTAATTTATTCTTGTGGAAAATATTTTAAGCTTTAAAGCCAGACAGCAAGCATTATTGAATTAGAGCACCCTCTAGTGTTTGTAGATGAATTTTATTTAGGTTGTTTACCAGGTAGTTTCATAACTCCTAAGCTGGATCTGGTGGCATGGGCCTGTAATCTTAGCCATTCCCAAGCTCAGGCAGGAGGAGTGTTGTAGTCTAGGCATTAGGGGTAATAGGACAATATAAGAGATCCCATTTTTTAAAACAAATTTACTTGTATACTTTATTTAACTAATGTATGAGAATTTAGTTCTCATTGTGCTCCCAGGAATTTTTTACATGAATGTTACAGATATTATCTCATTGTATAAAGGTTTTGTTCACATGTATTTATGAATGACAATTGGAAGTTCTTTTAATAATCTTTTTTTCCTACCCTTTTTATTGATGCATTACAGTTGTACATAATGGTGGAATTTGTTGTTACATATTAGTATGTATACACACTATAACAATATAATTTGGTGAGTTTGGCTCCCCAGCTCTTTGCCCTTCCCTTTCTACTTTTCACCTCCTGGTTGCTTTCCTCTGTTCTACTGATCTCCCTTTCATTTTCATGAGATCCCTTCCTCTCATCTTTCTTTTCCTTTTTTCTCTAGCTTCCACATATGAGAGAAAACATATGATCCATGACATTTTGGAGTTTGGCTTATTTTGCTTAACATAATGTTCTTCATTTCTATTCATTTTCCTGAATGACATAATTTCACATTTCTTCGAAATGAATTTTAGGATTGTTTTTTTCTAGTTCTGGGAGGAATATCATTTGTATTTTGATGGGATTTACATTGCATTTACAATGGATTACAAACAGTGTAATCCATTGTTTGACACTGGCCTTTTTTTTTTTAATAAATGTTACAATAGCGATTTTTTTTTAAAGAGAGAGAGAGAGAGAGAATTTTAATATTTATTTTTTAGTTTTCGGCGAACACAACATCTTTGTTTGTGTGTGGTGCTGAGGATCGAACCGGGCCGCACGCATACCAGGCGAGTGCGCGACCGCTTGAACCACATCCCCAGCCCAATACTGGCCTTTTAAAAGATATTTTGTATATCTTGTTTTGATAGTATGGCCATTTTAACAATATTAATTCTGCCTATCTGTGAACATAGAGGTCTTTCCATCTTGTGTGTTTTAAATTTCTTTCTTCAAAGTTTTATAGTTTTCATTGTAGAGTTCTTTTACCTTCTAGTTTAAACTTATTCCTATTGTGAGTGGAATTGCTTTTCTGATTTCATTCTCAGCAGAATTCATTGCTGGTTTATAGGAAAGGTATTGATTTTTGTATGTTGATTTTATAACCTGTTACTTTGCCAAATCTCTTAGTTCTAGCAATCTTTTGGTGGTTTTTGGATCTTCTAGGTAAAGGATCATAACGTGCAAATAGTGATAATTTGACTTTTTTCTATTTTTATCCCTTGTATTTCCTTCTCTTGCCTAATTGCTCTTGCTAGAATTCCTAGTACTATATTAAATAGGAGTAGTGAGGTAGGATATCCTTTTCTTTTTCCAGATTATAAAGAAAATGCTTTCAGTTTTTTCCCATTTATTATGCTTTGGGTTTTTCACATATAGTCTTTATGGTGCTGGGGTAGCTTCCTTCTATCCCTAGATTCTTCAGTGTTTCTGTCTTGAATAGCTGTTGAATTTTGTTAAAGGCTTCCTTTACATGAAAGCTTATTTAGAGAACAGCATATTCACCAAAAATCAGATATCAACTATTTTGTTAAGGAAGTTATAGCCTAGAATGTTTATCTATTTTGTTCAAACTTTAGTTTGAAAATATCAATACAATATTATTAAAATTGGTAGTTATGCCTTAAAAATATTACTTCTACATATATTTTAAGGAAACAGTGTAAGCCATTGGTTGACATTGGCTTTTTAAAAAATATTTTGTGTAATAGTCTAGCATATACTATTAATCAGATATGATAGAAGATATTAATACATAAAATTGACTGATGTAGTTTTATGGAATAAGAATTGTTTTAGTATTACTGTTTTTCTGAAACTTAGGTATATTGAGTAAAATAAAGTTTTAATGGTATAATGAACTTGGGATTGTGAATATCTCTGACAAACTTTGAATTTCATTTCCTTTGGATATATAACCCCAAAGTGGTATTACTGTATTATTTGGTAGTTTTCTTTTTAATTTTTTTTAGTTGTAGATGGACACAGTAGCTTTATTTAATTTATTTATTTTAATGTGGTGCTGAGGATCAAACCCAGTGTCTCACATATGCAAAGCAAGCACTCTGCCACTGAGCCACAACCCCAAGCCTTGTTTTTAATTTTTTGAGAATCTTCATACTATTTTCTGTAATAGTTATACTAATTTACATACCCACCAACAGTGCATAAGAATTTCCTTTTATCTATATCTTTGCATTTTTGATAGTAATCATTTTAACGGGTGTAAAGTGTCATTTCATTGTGTCTTCAATTTGTACTTCCCTGATGATTATGATGTTGAGCATTTTTTCATATGCCTGTTGGCCATTTATATGTTTTTGAAAAATGTCTGTTTAGATTCTTTACTCATTTTTTGATTGGATAATTTTTAACTGTTGAGTTATTTTAGTTATATTTTTTGGACATTAACCTTTTATCAGATATATAGTTTACAAGTATTTTCTTTCATTCTGTAGGTAGTCTCATTGCAGTATTGATTTCCTTCCCTCCTTCCTTCCCTCTTTCCCTCCTTCCTTCCCTCTTTCCCTCCTTCCTTCCCTGTTTCCTTCCTTCCCTCCTTCCCTCCTTCCTTACCTCCCTCCCTCCTTCATTCCTTCCTTCATATTGAGGATCAAACCCAGTGCGTCACACATGCTAAGGGAGCACTCTACCACTGAGTTACAACCCCAGTCCCTCTATTGATTGTCTTCTTTGCTGTGTAGAAGCTATGTAATTTGATGCAGTTTCATTTACCAGTTTTTGCTTTCTGTTGCCAGTGCTTTTGTGATCATATTCAAGAAATCATTGCCAAAACCAATGTCAAAAATGTTTTTGTTGTTCTTTTATTTTAATTCTTCTAATAGTTTTGCAGTTCTAAGTCTTTAAGTCTTTAACCTATTTTAAGTTGACTTTGGTATTTGGAATGAGCTAAGGTTTCAGTTTCATTTTTCTGCATATGGATATCTAATTTTCCCACCACTACTTATTGAAGGCACTGTCTTTTCCTCTGTGTTCTTGGTACCTTTGTTGAAGATTAGTTGATTTTATAAGAGTATGGATTTATTTCTGAGATTTCTCTTGTGTTCCATTGGTTTGTGTATCTGTTTTTCCACCAGTACCATGTTACTTTGTAATTTATTTTAAAAAACAGCCATTGTAATGTTCACAGCTATGTTCTTTTAGCTCAAGATTGCCTTGGTTACTATTGATTATTATTGCCTTGGTTGTTTGGGTGGTCTTTGTGGTTTCATACAAATTTTAGTATTGATTTTTCTATTTCTGTGAAAAATGTTATTAGAATTTTGATACAGATTGTATTGAATATTTAGATTGCTTTAGATAGTGTTGACATTTTAACATCTTTCTCAAATTCATGAATATGGGATGTTTTCATTTATATATATATCTTCAGTTTCTTTCATCTTTGTTTACAGTTTTTAGTGTGCAGATCTTTCACTTTCTTGGTGAAATTTATTCCCAAGTATTTTATTTATGTTT